GACGTTAAACTTCATTTCTCTCTCTTTCTCCCTAATTTTCCAGAATGACAGTAACGGACACGTTTGTCAGGAAAAAGGTTTGATATAAGGCGATAATTGATGTTATATTAATATCTTCATACAGAAAGTAAATATAATCCTTTCTATTATCTTACCACCAATTCCCCAATAAAAATAAATATGAAAAAATAACCACACCCGTCTCATCAGTTTTTGAAAGTTTATATTAGAAATGACATTAAATATGCTTTTCGCTGCATGGGGTTTATCATTACTATATGTTCAGGGCCCTGAAGGGATTATATATGTATCTTAGACTAGTTTTATCACAAAGAAGTTGAAAAAAATAAAACTTTTTTATGCAACATTTAATACTTGTGTGGTTATTTTTTAATATGTTGCTTTCAAGATCATTAAAGTCTGATATATAATCTAGGCGACTCTTGGGTTGTCTTTTAAGAGGATTTAAAATATTCAAGTATTTACGACTATGTTGCCAATTAGTTATAATTTATAAAGATACAAATCATATCCACAAAAAAAGAATTAAAACTTTATTTATTAAAGTATTTAACCAGTTCTAACCTTATTTTTTTCTGGGCAGCAGTGGGACGTCCCCACTTGCCAGGAGTATATAGCACCTGCTAGTCCGACAAGGAAAGTATTGTCAAGTCGTTCGAATGGGGCGAACAACCGAGCTAAAATCTGAATGGACATGATTTAATGTTAATTAAGATATGATTAATTTGATAGAAATAACATACAAAAATCATACTGCCCAACCACAATTTAAAAGCTGTAAGGTCGAATGCCTTATTTCATAATATTTACATATATCTACTTGTATTTACATATATTTCACATATTTACATATATTTCACATATTTACATATATTTCACATCACATTATTAATGTACGTAAATATTGGAAGCATTATTAAATACATAACTTCTAATACTAGGGTGCAGCGGGGGAACCCAAGTCCAAAATAGTTTGCTATGCCTCCGATTTATCTTACGCATCTCGTTCGGACATGTTAGAATCGTCAAAACAATAAAATAGATCCTGAGCTGTCGGTATTGCGACTGGCGGTTTACCACTAACCAATAGTATTCCACTTCGAATTCAGTGCATCTAATCTTTTTCAATGTTAATATTCATTTGTATACACCTTCCTTACAGCACATTCTCTGCCGTCCGTGTATTTAACTCCTGTTTTTTGTATACGACTCCTCCGAAATGTGGGGTCGCGACCCCAAATGGGATTATTTGATTCTTTCATTAATACTTTCGACAGGGTCTTCCAGTTGCCAATTCATCGGTCGCATGGAATCGCAGCTGATTTTGAGTTTCAATGTCTTTTTGTGAATTTGACGAGTGAGTTTCCGGCAGTCGATTTTTAAAAACATTCTGGGGGAGGGGCCCTACCCACCCCCCACCCCCGGTCTAGGACGGCGCCTACTGGCCACTGTGGGGCCCGGGGTCGCTCAAAATAAGTGGTTGGAACCCTTGATACAACTCCTTTACACTCGAGATGTCAAAAACAAGTAAGGATTTTAAAGTTTTAGTTCTTGATACTAGAACTATCTACCGCCAGCATTTGTTAATCAAATTCTACATTTATTACATCGGTTAGATCTAAGGAAATAAACTCTATCATAACTAGATGAATCAAACCAACCCTATAGCTACATACACTATACCCATTATATATATGTATGTTCTATGTAGACATCCATTACATATATGTATGTACTATGTAGACATCCTCTACCATCTATCAACCTATAAAAGCTTCAAAATCCTTTCTATAGCCCCTTATAAGATAGCGTCAATATGTTTTAATTTCATCTTTATATACGTACTACATCAATATATAGTCATGTAGGTATTATGTCTGAGTTCTTCATTTACTATATCTACTCGAGTATAGTTGATACCCAGTGAAGCGCTACCATACTGTAACCCTATCCCTTCGTCTAATCCCATCTATTCAACTTGACTGAGGTTATTGTCAACCACATTCCTCTTGTATTTTATAAAATTAAACTATGTTATAAGGCTCGGCATACTCATTTCATTCACTTTTTAACATTTCGATGAGTAGCTGTTAGACGTGTAATAAAAACAAATGTAAGTAATTATAACTTTTTTACAACTTTACATACAGGGATAGACAAACCGATAGAGCTATGATATGAATGAACGTTTTTGTCTCAATCATCTTACCCTTTCATTGAACATCGTAGATTACTTCACAATGTATAATGATTTTGTCAAGTTTGAATATTTCATCAATTTTAGTGTATTTTCGTAATGTAATGCATGTCTATACAAGCTGAATCAATTCACCAGTAATATCTAATGATTAAGATTGATAAATTGAGGATGAACTGTGTTATTTACGGACTGCTGTCTCTTTATATTGTAATAAAGGTAAAATACATCTAAATTTTTAAATCTTTCATACATGTAATTATAAACTGCAGATGAGTGGAATTATCAAGGATTTCGCATTTAAAATTGTGCGCAATTTGTTTCATTTCGAAAGATAAATACATGTTTAAGATTTTTATTTTGAATTATATATATGCAGGGAATGGAGTGTTTGTGTGTGTGTGTGTGGGGGGGGGGGGGGTCTATCATAAATTTTTAAAGGTCTGAATCTGGCCTTGAAAACGTGTGGCCATGTTTTCTGGTAATCAACAACCAATTTGATTAGATTATGTAACACGATATCAACAAGGAAGTTAATATTGTTTCAATTTATAATTACTTTGTAATCTTCGATAAGTTGTTCTGGATTACGACTATCATATATAGATAGTCTTATAGAAGTGTCTGTGTGTGTAATTCATATCCTAAGGTAAAAATCTGATTAACTAAACTGAATTGAATTGAAACTAGATCATAGTAGAGATCGCTTTTAGAATTACAATGCATGTGAATAAAATATTAAATGTTTGTAGGTAAGTCTAAAGAAACAACGCCAAATGAGTCAATGACATACCTTATGATATAAAGTTCACGAGTTAAACCATTCCGTCAAACATACTTGACTAGGTTATGTATTTGTGTGTATAGTCCTTGATTTAAATTTACAATTTCGGTCACCTTCAGGTATATTCTCGTTTAGTATCGTAAATATACAGAACGCAGAAGTATTATTAAAGGAACATAAAATATCTATTGTAGATGAAAGTAGTATACATTGTCGAGATTTTCATTTAATTAAATTTACTGTAAGACCGGGTAAATAGACTACAAGACATTATATGGTCGTAGGTTTCAGTTCTTGATATGGATTAATATAGACTATAGGACAGTATGGTCGGAGGTTTCAGTTCTTGATATGGATTGATATAGACTATAGGACAGTATGGTCGGAGGTTTCAGTTCTTGATATGGATTGATATAGACTATAGGACAGTATGGTCGGAGGTTTCCGTTCTTGTTATGGGTTGATATAGGCCATAGGATAGTAGGGTCGTAGGTTTCAGTTCTTGATATGGATTGGTATAGGGTATAGTACAGTATATAATCGTTGGTTCCAGATCTTGTTATGGGTTGATATAGGCTATAGAATAGTATGGTCGTAGGTTTCAGTTCATGATATGGATTGATGTAAGCTTATATACTACATGGCCATAGGTTCCAGTTATTGATTCGGGTTGATATGTAGACTATAGGGCAGTATAGTCGTAGGTTTAGACTCTTTTTATGGATTGGTATAGGCTACAGGACAATATATGCATGGTCCTGGGTTTAATTTTTGATAGTATTGATATATAGCACTATGTTATAAAACATGTCTAATTGTAAGTAATTAGACTTAACTGAATTGAAATATAAAACGTGTCCTAATGCAAAACCCTGGAGTTATTGAAATTGCTCAAACGCATGAAAACGTGTTAAAAAGGGCAACAAAAGAATAAAATAAAACCAAAAACCGGCTTTGCGCGCACCCTCCACAATAATCGACCAAAATGTAAGTGGACTAAAATAGAAGCAAAACAACCCTGTATTTTTGATGTTTTTCCCGTGACTTAAATTGAATTTATAGAGAGGTTATTTCTCTAAAACAGTTATACATAATTTTCTTACTGTATGAACTTTACATTGCATAATGCCACCAGTAATAAAGTGCCTTATTCAAGAACACAAGAATTCGACTTTCATAGTTATGCTTAACTAAGTAGCACGTTATTGCACATATAATGTTGGGTGGTTATTTACGCTCAACTAAACTATTATAGTTATAAAAACTGATATGAGTGATTTATGGACGAATGTTACGATATCATTAATAACCATTGAGTTAAACACAGCAGTCAGTTAGTAGCGATTTGTTAAACAGATCATTTGTTATATTATGACGCCTATTGTGTTTGTTACACTGTTATTATTAGGCGTCAATCGAATACTTAACTGTCTGTAAAACTTCGATAGGAAATATTACCGAATTAGGGTCTAACGTGGTACGTACATTACGTAAACTGTTCTCGTTGAGTAATGGTTCGACCGTCTTTTACGAACTGTTATCGTTCTCTAAGCGCTTGATTAGTGGCTATCATTATTTTTAGTTTTGTTCGACAAATAAGCTTTCTGGGATTTCGAATATAGATTTAGTCTGAGATAGTGCGCAGTGAAAACAGGAGTTAATAATGTATTTAGTTATATGAGTATGCGCAGAAAAAACCAATTAGATGTTGTATTTGTCTTAAGCGCTGGATCAGCGGCTTTCGTTAGTTCGACATAGAATTCTGGGATTTAGAAAATTGTAGATAGATTTAGTCTTCAATAGTGCACAGTGAAAAGCATTTAATAATTTAATTTACTTATGTAAAAAAAACTAATTAGAAGTTTTTTTTTTTAATCTTCTTTTTAATACAAAAACTATGTCTCTATCCTAACGGGGTGCAGGCTTAGTTTGATATAACAGTTACGGTTTTTTTTCTTTCATTTTAGTTTACGGTGTTGTGTGTCGAGCTGTGGAAAAAATAGTTCAAATTTCCTCATAGAAACTGAACGATATCATCTACAGTTGGTGAACTTGAATAGAGAGCGCATTTAAGTGGATTTCTGACGCATTTATACTGTGGTTGTATCCGTATTAAGACATTCGTGAATTTATCGCAGTCAACGTATATTTATCCATATAGTGGTTTTATTCTGTATTTATGAGTTCTGTAATCGGATTATTTTAAGTAGGGGTCAAATATATTTGTAACCGATTTGATATTATAAAACAAAATCGAAATAACACATCGGATTCTTTGACCTCTAAGATAACCGGTTTTGAATGATGAATTTCTTGGGACATTTTTGAGGAATTAAGAATTTAGTGCAACCTTATACAATATCTTGGATTTTCTTCAACTTGTCAACAAACTTTTTAACGGAACCCCGTGTTCGCACAGTATGTTTACCGGTGCGTGTTAAATACATAGGATAATAGATTACTAACAACAACAGGTGAGTCTTTCTTTTATTCTTTTAAACATCACAGAACAAAATGGCTTTGTGATAGACCTCTTTTCATCCATGTAGAAATAGCGACTGTTTCTTCATGACTGATCACTGTATATGTATTATAATATATTATAAGTTATTTTAAGATTGGAATATAAATAGTGTTCTATTACCATCTGAGTACTGTATCATGTTTTGTTCTATTTTTGTCAAATATATGCATGCATATCTTAACAAATTCAAATAACGTTCTACCAGATGTATGTTTATTTGCGTCTTATAATATTATTGTGTTCACATTTTCATAAGTTAAGGTTGTTTAGGTCTACAGCTGAATTATAAATCGGTTATATCATCTTAATCGGTAAAATATATTTCACAAAGAAACATTTATCTGTCTTCTATCATCGAAAATCTATTTCAAACACTGCATATCACTAACTTACGTGGGGAGGGTGAGGGGGGGGGGCGAATGATTAGCGCGTGTACGTTGTATAATAACGTCTGTCATTAAGTCAACTGGCGTGGTTTCGATTGCCCGGTTGTATTTTTCAACGTGGTTTTTTTTCCCCCGGGAAAGCGTTTAGTTGCCAAACCGAGATGCCGCGTTTACCATTAGCGCACGTTAAAGATCCAGAGACAGTTGCATGGAAATACGAGTAACTCGTAGCACCGCCCGTTTCCATTATCCCAGTTGATGCAGAAAAAAGTAAAACGTCAATGACTTGAAAATAAAATGTTTTTTCTAAATATTTGTCACTTTATGCAAATTCCTTTTGTTAGTTCCGTGTACACACCCTACGTATTATATACACACCCTACGTATTAATTATTCTACGCTTTTATCAAAATAAAGCCAATCACTCAACCGCATCACCAAAACGGGGAGAAATAGGGATTTATTTTTAAAGGGCCATCAACACGTAAGCCTTTACGTTAGGTCATATTTTAATGACCCTCCATCCTGCACCTCTGACAAGGGGAACAACGCTGGAAAGTCTTTGGTAAGTTTCTCGGCCGAAACACGGATCAAAACAACGTTACTTAAATGGGCATTAGGTAAGATCAGATAAAGAGCTGACAGTTTTCGCTATAATAGTTAAAATAAAGATAATGAAAATAGAATATGCTAAAAATTGCAGTCAAATTGCTTCACTCTGAACCTAGATATTAATTTTAGGCTAGGCCCGACCGTCATTACTACCGTTGGTACGATTATAAACAAAGTCTCGATTATCCATATTTATGGTTATTTCATCCACAACAAAAGTATTCAAATCCACTAAATATTGCAGCCTAACGATGGCATCGAGAGTTCATTATGGTCTTGACAAGTTAATTAATGTCGAATTAATAATTTAAATAACATTTAAGGCATAAAGAAAGGCTTGAATTACAATAACAGTGAGTCGCTCTTATGTCATTAATGTTTCTATATACATGTTGAATACACTTTGCGACCGTATTTAACATCTCTACACCCCAGGAAAAATGAAATTTAAAGTAGCGATTTGTGGGGATATGTATGCCTCACCCCCGATTAGTGAACCATCGCATTCTTATACCGAGCCACCGTGTAGTGAAAGCTTAGACGTTTATACCAAAACCCCAATGAGGGTCATTGTTTCAAACGTGTGGGTAATGAATACCATGACACTATTAAACGCCGTTATCTGGAGGAAATTCATCCCTCTAGCATTGTCCACGTGACCATGGAATAAACTATAATAGTATTTTAGTTTCAAAATGACAGAAGTTTTGTGTTGAAGAGTTGTTATACTCCACTCATTCATTCATTCATTCATTCATTCATAGTTCTCTAGAATCTCTACCCAGTATATATTGGTACAGTATGTATTGATGACATGCAATTCGTTAATACCGAACAAATATTGCTCATAAGGTAAATACGAAATCTATTTAATAGAATATCGTTATGTCCTACTTGAACACGACACACTATCAGACAATACAAATGTATTTTGTCTGTTGGTCATATTACAATGTATACAGAGACACGATAAATTATAGTTTAAGTCGCAGTCCATATAGAATTAAACTGGTTAATCATGTGCATACCATCTCCAGCTCAGTTCCCATGTGGGGTTGGCCATGTGTAAGTACCTGGATAACCATGTCTATATACTTGTTGAAGATGTACTAGCTATTATTTTTGTAAAGTTTAATAGTTTGACTTGAATTTTTCAGGCAAGTTAAAAAGGCTGTTTCATCACATTTAAAGGGGTCATTATGTACGACTTAGATAAAGAGCGGGCCGTTCTTGCTATAATTTTTCAAAAATACATAATGCAAAATCAAAATATTGAAAATTTCATTCAAATTACTTTATATTGAGCGAAGTTCCCAATGGTTGTAGTTTGGGCAAGATGTGTGATTTGATCGTAACCACCGTATTGGTCATTCGAGCATAAGTCTCGCTTTTCCTTTTTTAAATTAAATCATTAAATGGTTGAACCGTTCTAATCTACTTGAAATCGGAGCCATTCGATGGCATCGAGAGTTGATTTAGTCTTGTCATGTTAGTAAATCTAATTTATAATTTATATAACATTTTAGACCCCAAGAAAGACTCGCAATAGGAAGATTGGACTCTTACATTATACCTGTTTAACGCTGAATTTATATATTTATTTACGGTGTCCTATGAAATCTGGAACATCCCCTATAAAGCGCTTAAAAATAGGATTAGTCGATCGAAATATTTTTAGCATTTTTTTTAAAAGACCAAACCCCGAGTTCACAGAGCATTCTCGGGCTTGAGTTATTTGATACATTACAACAACAAAAGTTTTATAAAGGGTCATATTTTAGTTAAAATAAGACGAGCAATTTTAAGTAAATTCTTAACTGAAATCTGAGAATGTTTCGTGAAACCAGGGTCGGATATTGCCGTCACTTTCGTCTGTCCTCAGTTGTTATCCTGGGGCTGGATAACCGTGTCCACTTTCACCGGGTCACTATTTCCTACCTATACTCTACCCGGTATGAAGATGTCGGGTAATCAACCAGAACCGATTGTTGAAGATTTGATGTTAGCCGTAATTAACCCTAGGTGGTTCGTAAACAGATGCGTCATTTATAAAATGTAAACATCGATTCAATTTCAGCAGTTTAACGGTTAACATAACATCAAACCTGTTTGTTGCCTGGCAAACCATATTTAGTGTTGAATATTTTTAAGTCTTGCGGATGAAATAACATGCTATATTATTAGTATTTACGTATATTCTTTATTTACATTAAATATAATTAAATAAATGTAATTATAAGTGTGCACGTGTCAGGACATTCATATAGTTAATATTAATTGTATAAATAGAGCTTGGCATAATTAAACAAATCGAAAACATTTAACTGTACCAATTACATACATTATTTCACATGTCAATCAAGTACTTTAAATGAGCTTAACCCCTTTTGATTCAGTTCAAAATAAAGAGTTGAAATTGGTTTGATCTGGTGTGCTTTTGCGATGGGTGATAGGAAAAATTAAATCTTCATTTCAAAGTATTATGTCAGGGTTTGTTGGGGGGGGGGGGGTACTACAGAATGCAAAATCAGTTATATCCCAATATTGTCTCTATCAGTGGGTGCAAAACGTTTTATGAAGACATATACCGACTTCGAAACAAATCAATAATATAATATCAAATTATATTAAATCGACACTAATCAGTTTCGTTTACAAACGATTCATTGGAGCATCCATCTGGATTTATCTGAATTCTAAGAACTCTGTATTACTATTTCATATTTCTGCAATATTTTAGAGTATGTCAAAAAATGATAAATTTGACATACTATAAAGTTGTTACTATGTTTAAAGGAACCGATCCAGATAGCTCTTAGCTCATCAAACGGGTTAATTCTACTTCAAATACTGTTAGAATCTACTATCCAAGTCCTGTACAAATGTCGGAAGCTCTCTGATACATTTTCGCATAATTACAAACTGTCAGTTTCCATAAGTACCCAAATTACCAGATATCCCATATGCCTGGATCGCCATGCCTGCAGGCTGGTACAAATTAATGTGGCAAGAATGGGTCGCTGTTAATTAAATCACTTCCGAACGATTCAACATTTTAATATGCCTAGTCGTTCGGATTGTAGCAACAAAAACGAGGCCCACCATAAGAAGAAAAACCGCTGCCTGGGGAAAGATCGCCACGTATTTTAGTATCAGAATTGAACATGACATTGACATGTTTTAACACCGTGCCAGCCTTCGTTAAAGAATGCTCTTCGAATTCTGTCTTTACAGCATGTGATAGGTGTATAGAACAATAACTGTATGTTAAAACTATATGCACCAGAATGAGGCGGGGACTCTATGTACCATGTTCTCAAACATCATGGTCAGTTCCTGGACAATAGTACGCTCGCACTTGTTCATTATCTATTTGAACACTGTACAATCCTCTAATATCTCGACTCTCCCAACTGGTTTGTGTGATTTGGAGGTATGGGCGATTGTTGGTTGTAAATGCCTTACCATACCCAACATAACCAAAGCAGTACTTTTAAAATAGATTTCCACCAAAATTTCCACTAAAATATTTATTTTTAAAAAAAGTCTCTATATTATCTATTTTTAATCCTATATGTAATTATGTATGTATGTACATATGTATCTAAATCAGAGAGAGGGGTTACACATTGTCATAGCCTGTTCCCCAATTCAAATTAAGATATAATGAATAAAAATATTGTTTAAAAAAAAGACTATTTGAACTATTACAGCAAGTACTGTCAGCTCTTTATTTATATCTCACACAATGCAATATCTAAATAAAAAATAAATACTCTAGTTCTTCTATACTATTAAAAAAAACACGATCACAAGAGTAGAGATTTTTTTCAGGCTTTATCTGTAAATTGTCGTCTTCTTTATAACTAGAAGATCGTGATAGGGAAAGACTAAACGAGTTTTATTTTTGTTTTTCTGCCCCAGTGAATTTATTCTTATGAAGTACACACAC